TGTACTCCATCTTGCATGACAGGTGACATGGCGGTCACTTTTCTGTTTCTACTTGTATAACGCTAATGGCATCGCTAGTGCTGAGAAGCATGAACAGTCAATCAGGTGGACGAGGAAGGCAGACAGACACTCAAACAAGTGAACGTCGTGAGCACGTTGGTTGAACGGTCGCTCGAGTGTTTTTGCATTTGGGTTGGAGAATTCATTATGTGAGGCGACGCATTGTTACATGGATGGGTTGGCGACTGGGTCACAAGTGACATGAAGAGAAGACCCTCGTACATCCATCACATATTCTTCAGTTTGATTCGTAGTGTTGCGCTGGTGATTAAGTAAACAATAGGACGAAGAACGAGAAGCAAGACATGAAATTATACAAGTCACCAGAATCTCGTTCTAAAGAACCAAGTTCAGTACCATTCAGTTAATTTATTAATGTGCTTGACAGGAGCTGAAAAGCCAATTACAGGCTAGCAAAACAATAAAATATGATAGAAACAAAAAAATATATACAAGAAAATTGTTCTGTTGTGTCATATTGTAGGGCCACTGTCACTGGGTAAAAACCCATTTGCAGTTAATAATAAATAATAATAAAATAATAATAAAAGAGAGCAAATATTTTGTAGAACATCAGGATTTCACGGCGGCTAGTATGAAGACGGCTGTCTTATGGACTGTTGCGTAGTGTATTCTGGTAGAAGTTTCCAGACGTTACTGTAGAATTGCATTTGCGAAAGCCACGCGGAGAAAGATTAATTCTGGGCTTTAAAAATCTACAAATTTTCATAAACAATAAAGTAAAAAAAATTAAGAACAGAATAGGGCTATGTAATTACTAACAACAGTAATTGTCTTTCTTAAACACAGAAACAGCAGTAGTTCTTTAACAGAACGACACTTATTATTAAAATGTATAAGATTAAAACAAATGTTAACAAATGAATAGAAACCCAAGAGCAGCCCTGCTTATGAACAACGTAATTTCATCCAATCCAACTCTTAATAACCCTGCTGACTTCACCAACAGTGGGTAGAAAGTTAGAAGGAATGAAAGGCAAGTTAGTTTACACACTGATTTAAAACAGCCCTGGAAAGTGTGCTCCGTCCCAAAATACACAGTTTTTTTCACATACGTTCTTTATAACGCTGATATAGAAGTGTTATATCCTCCTTGTCCCCCCCAAAATAGATTTTTCTAAAAAGAAACAAGTTTTAAGTAGGTTCTTCGACGTTATGTAGTATGAGCTACCGAAAAAGCTTTGTTAAATAAACTATAAATAAATAAGTAGATTCTTAACAGCATCTAACCTACAACCTTCGTTTAAGCCTACCTAACATAACCAAACTTAACACATTTTAACCCAACTTAATATGATACATCCAATCCCGCGTCTGCTTCCCTTCTTCCTCCGGGTTCCATAAGACGTACTGTCCTTCTGTCTTCCCTCACCAAAGGACTCTCACCGCTGTTATTGGCCCCGACCACAAGCCCTGGACCATACAAATCTCTTCCTTTCGGGACCACGTACCACAGCACGCCACTGTACACCCCAAAAATCAAATTCCAAATTTAGAGCAGCCTAATTAATGTAACCCAACGTCACTCCACAGGAGATCGCCCCCCCCCCTCCCACCCTGTAAGCTTCCACCCACCACACGTATCCGCCAATTAAACATGATAGCCTTGGTTACAAAGTAAAGTCATGCAAAATTTCATTAAAATCCATCCAGTGGTCATAATATCTGACGAAACACTGTTAACCGCGACAAGTTTTCCAGTAGTGTGCATAAGTTATAAATTGATACGGGGTTAATAGCACGAATTTTCAAGACATTTAAGAAAATTAGCTACTTAAATGACATATAAGACACACATATGAACACACACTGATGTCAGAATCTAAATGAGTTATTAAAAATTACCATGCTGACACAAACAGTGACTGATTCATAAATCCAACTCAAAAGTCTCATTTTTCCTTTCATCCTAACATTGATGTTTACCAATAAAACATCGTGCATACACAAGTTTAAACCGGTTTACTACGGAACCATTAATGGAACTTCTCAATCTAGCATATCATATTCGAATAGAACTCGCTTCATTTAATTAGAGAAGAGACACAGCGACAAGTGAGCATCGCATTGTTCCAAGTGTTGTTTAATTAGTGCAGACAAGTTCTTCGTACCTTGATTTCCTCACCAGTTTATTAGCCAGCTTATTAGCTTTTCATAAACTTAGCATCAATAAGGCGTTAATACATGTATGAATTGAAGTTCTGCAATTGATCCCAACACATACCTCATTCATTTCCCCAGATCTAATAATTATCACCTAAAATCTTTCGCTTGCCACTTATTCAGTGTGAAGATGGCTGTCTCTGGGTTGTTGCGCCGTGTAGCGTGGTAGAAGTTTATAGACGTTTCAGAAGTCCTTGCTGCCTCCATCATCATGGCGATGAGTCATCACCCTAATGATGGAGGCAACAATCCAGAAGACAGCCATCTTCAGACTCACCGCCGTGAAAACCTCAAATCCTATAAACCTCTAGTACGTGTGTATGTAGGCCAATGAGCAAAGTCTTGGTAGAAGGATGGTTATTTAACATTGATAACTTTGACGAAAAAGAACGAACCAATACACAAGGTAAAAAGAATAAAATAATGAAATTTAGTTGGACAAAAGAGGAAGGAGACAGCAGAAGTATGGATCAAATTATTGGATAACACGGAGCTTAATAATTTATATTTTTCACCGAACATTGTTAATATGATAAAATAGACTTGCAACAAGCAAGATAAAAATTATAAATGCCTAAAAATAGCCGCAAAACTTGAAAAGAAGATACAGTTTTTAGACCTAGACGCACATGAGAGGACAGTATTGAAGTTGACCAAAAGAAACAAATAGGATGTAAAGGTGTGGACTGAACACAGGATAAGAACCAGTGGTAGAAATCAGCTGTCGAGTTAATTGAAGGTGGGGTATTACTTGATTATATTTTATAAAATACCTCTGCCCCATGGAATATATACTTCAGATTTTGGAAATCAGAAGAAATTATACATAAGAAAATTTAGGTTGTAAGACTTGAGGTTCTCACAGCGGTGAGTATGAAGATATCCGTCTTCTGGGTTATTGCGCTGTGTAGTCTGGTCGATGTTAACCAACGTTTCAGAGGCCATACTGCCTCCTGCCTAGGTTATTTCAGTTATTATAATTGTAACTTTTTAAAAACTGACTTGCCCGATTCATGCAACTCTTCCTTTTTTCAGATGTAAATCCTAAATAAGGTAATTAATTCATTAACGACATATATGAATAAAGAAAAAAATAGTTTAACTTAAATAACACTTCTCCGGAAAGCTGCAAACACTCAAGCATTGGACGGGAGGAATCCGCAGTCTGACAAACTATTAATAAGTATAATATGAAGAAACACATATAACATCACCGCTGGTTAGACAGTGAAAACTACGTCACTGTGATAATCGTTCGACTGCGACATTCGGCTTAATTTTATTTTAATAATTACGCGTCACAAGTGTCTGTAGTTCCCAAGACGTACATGGTAGTCAGCTTCCCTTCTGACGGAGTTTCTATAGATGATCATGAAAGCTGAAAATTTGCTTAGCTGCTTCATTATCAACCTCTAGTTTAGATTCGATTACGTTTCCGCATAAGAGTCTTGGGAAAAGCAGCTATACGTCTTTTATAGAAATCAAAGATGGTTGCCATAGGTAAAAAATATGAGTTCAAGTATTAGGTATCCGAGTCAGTCCATTCGTTGAACTCCACATTGAGAGGATGCAAAGTTTAACTGCACAACATGGCTGCCATTCAATTTTGATAACTTTGTAACTTTCATTGCCTGGAGGAAGACATGTATGTTTTAAATGTTTTTGTTTTCGTTGTAGATGAAAATGGAACTCCAAATTTGGGGGAAAGGGGGGGGGAGAGATAATGTCGCAAGTTTGGCGAAATAAATTGGAAGCTTTATCTTCCGACCAGACACACCATCTTTTAAATTCTGCCAGCATATCTTACCTTATCCAAAACTGGAAAGTGGCTACCTGACGCTACGAAATGTTCGTAATCAAAAGAAAATCGAGTTCACAACTTTCCTCTTTATTAAATTGTAAATAATTTTATATTCCTTTAGGAGGAAATTAATAAATTAACGGAATAGACTTACATTCTTGTTTTATATGCAGACAGCCTCATCATTCAGACTGTTTTCCTACAGTTACTTTGCTTGCCCCACAGAACAATAATACAGTAAATAGCGACCCTACCTTTGAAGGTAAAAAGTGGTATGTTTCCTTGGATCCTACACTAGTTGTTTACGTGGAAATCACATTCAGGAAAAGGAGATAATTGACTTTATATTAAAAGAATAGATTTAGAAGGGGATGCATTTGGCATTTAAAAGTACTTAGTTCTCTCCAGGCATCCCCCGAGACTGTTGTGGTATTGCTTATTAATAATAAAACATCATTTCACTCATATCTCGTGCCGAAAGAATATGAATACATACTCACATTACAGACTATAGACTTACGCCTTGAGCAATTGACAAGCCTAATGAAGACAGTACGAAACAAGTTTTTCGTTCCTCAATGAAAAACAAAGATTTTGCCCCTTTGGTCATAATGCCATTCGATCGAGTGCGAGGCAAGCACGTAAGCTCAGTACGTTTGTAAACCGCAATATTATTACAGTGAAAGTCATGCAACATGAATGCTGGATATATAAACTGTGTGTTCTGTGGTTTTTCTCAGCCGCGACACGAATTATGACAGTTTCCTCTTTAGTCATTCATCAAAACCAACTTGTCTTCTCAAATAAAAATTGGTGAGTTTAGTACAAATAGAATTTAGGCTAAAAAATAATAAACAATATAACCAAAATAATATCTTAAATGTGATAAAATTTTAATTATATTTACTTATATGAATTCTTTCATGTTTCAGAGATTTGAAATAGAAGAACTTACATTATGTTTCTGAAATAACCACGTCTAGCAGAGTGCAGACTGTACTCCTTACTCAAAGTGGACAACTCTGTGGAAGCGAGAGCAACTTGACACAGAATCTGAATATCTGAGCGTGATAGTTAACCCGCATAGCCAATACGCCTAGCAGGCATATTGGCCAACACAAGCAACTCTCACGTTTTACTGGTTCCCGTTTTCAAATTTTTATTTTATCGACCAATAAGAAATCTTCAGTTCCGTCAACTTTATATACCCTCCACGAGAATTAACGAGTGCAACCCCATTAAATTGTCTTCACTAATTTTTTTATATCGTTGCTGAGCTGTGATGTCTTTACTTCGCCCATTAAGAACTAGGTTCCAAAGAACTAGACGTAACTAAATAGTTCTTGTGATTAAAAATAAATAAAAGTGGAATAAAGACATGAAATTTAATGACTTAAAGTTCAGGCTGTGGCCTTCTGTATCGTAGTCCACAGACAGTGCGGTATCGCAACCTGATGAACAGAATCATATTCGACAGTGTTGCAGCTAGACATAACGTAGAGTAGCTGACAAAATAACAGAATAATTGTATGGTTTCGTCATGTTCGTCTGTCGGAAATTATGAGCACACGAATTTGGACAAAACTTGGTACAGCAGACGGAGACCACATTTAATTGGATTTTTTTATTTTGGTTTAATTCGGTTTAACCCGAATATCACTTAACATAAGATCCTAAATGCCTAAATGCACTTCCAAGTACATCTTTTGAGACCTCTGAAAAAATTGTATTAAACTTGATATAGCTATTTCTTTTATAGGGAATTACGAAGGGTAAGCTACATAAACTCCGTTAAAGACAAATGGAAAATACGTATGTTAATAACTTCTAGACTTATAAACTGACCTATCGCTATGAAACTGTAAACAAATAGTTTCATTAAAAAAATATCCGATTTCGTGTTTCCGAATTCTCTCCCCATAAACAACAGCAAGACAGCCACTTAAACTTTAAAGGTAATCAAGTTGGCACCATTAAATGCTGGTTTTTGAAACTGAATATCGTGCTGTGTCTTTGGTAAAAGTATAATATTTCTTTGTGCAATTCTCGTCTCAGCAATTGCTAATCCCTTAAGTATACAAAATGTTTTCTGTTTTTATAAGGTTAATCACATAGAGTTATTTGAAACTGTCGGTGTTATGAGGCAATAAATAAGCTAAAATCGAAAAAAATGGATAATGGTATGAATTGGAGAGATGATAAACGCTTTCATTATGAATGTATAACCTAAATGGAAGCGACGGCTTAAAGGGCCTAGTCATGGATATGAGGATAATATTAAAGTGGGTCTTAAGGAAGTAGTTTGGAAGGGTGGACTGGATTTATCTGGTAAAGGATAGAAACCGGTAGCAGACTCTTGATGATACGGTCATAAATATTTTAATTCTATGAAAGGAAACTTCATAATTAGCTGATCGAATCCTACCTTTTCAAGAAGGATTCTGTTCTGTTGAAGAACCACCTTTAGCAGAGGCGTGTAACGTCTTGGGCCGCTCCAGCTCTGTGATCGCGGGTTCATAACTGCCTGTTTTTTTAATTGTAGTCTTTACAAAGGCCAATATATAATTCAAGAAGTCTTGTCCATTGTCTGACAGGATAAATTAAACATAATCCCCTCTAACGTCAACTAAAACTGTAGAATAAGAAGAACAAATATTTGTTTCACTTTTCTTGCACATTCTTTGCTGGAACACGATTAAGATGACTACACTTCATAACCGCAAAGTACTGGTAAAACAGATTGTTTATACGTTTCCAGCATATGAAAAGAGTTCTAAATGAATAACAGCAATCCCTTTCCTAACTCATTATTCTCGTAACTTCATAGTAAACATCATTTATATTTGTTTGTAATTATTAGTAACGAGTTAACAAGTTATTACGAGAATCAGCACTCGCATAATTAGTTGTGCCTAATGCACCCAGCACCAGATTTATCAGCTCGAAAAGTAGTGACATGGAAGCAGAGGATTTAGATGCTATTCCGTTGGTATGAATTGAACATCGCGTTCAGGTGCAGCAGGTTTATATTCTTTGCAGCCAGTGTCAATACTTTCTTGCTGAATACAGTGTATCATATCATCTTTCGAGACTGTAAAAAAAAGGAAAGCTGTCTGTCTTACTTCAACTTCATGCCTTTAGCGCACAGATGGAGATAGCGGTCAGATTCAGCTACAAAGCTTTATGCCCACGTAAAATTTCCCCGATAACCACTGGGTAGTTATCTGAGTGAAAGTAATGTGTGATTCTCCTTTCGCGTGATAAAGACATGAAGACTATGCTGTGTCATTTGAAAAAAGGTTGCCAAAATAGAATGTTGATTTGTGTAAGATTTTCGCAACTGGTTGCAAAAGTTTAAAAGTTATATGTCTGTATGTGAGAAATGCACCGTTACAGTGTACGAATGTGCCAAACTGTAATTGCCCTATTTCAAAATGCTGCAGAACGGTGCCATCAAACGGATACGTCAAGCACCAACGAAAGATCGAGTGTAATCGACTTGTTCGGTAAGTTTGGTTCGTACTGGAAAATAAACGAATTATTTGCAATCGCAATTGCCTTGAATACAATCTGGTTTTTATATGAGGCATAATAATGAATAACTAGGTTGCTCAAGAAATTTCCCACCGTTCATGGATTTAAGTATTTTTCCTCCAGGTTCTCAACAAAACGTTTTGTGTATTTCTCATTTGTATCATGCATACTAAATGCCCTGCCCACCTCATTCTCCTCGAGAAGTAGGCCTAGATATTATGAAGCTTCTCATTATGTTTGTTCTCACAGTGCTATTGACTTCCTTCTGAAGTCCAAGTATTCTCTTCAGCAACCTATACTCTAGCACCCTGAAGCTTTGGTTCTCTCTCTAGGTGACAAAGTTTTATACCCTTATGAAACAAACAGTTAAAATTGTAAACTAATATTTCAGTCAAAGTTTTCAGACAGCAGACAGAAACATAAAAGTTTCTGTCATGTTCACAGCATCGTAGCATAGCAGTGAATTCAATCTAGTCTTCATTTCTTATTGATGTATTTCCTAAATATTTGCCACAATGTTGATTGATGTATTATATACCTTTATATTATGATTCAAACCTGCATTCTAGTGACGAGATATAAACAAAGTTTTCTTTGCAATGATTCCTGTACCAACATCGTAAGGTAAGCAAGATATCAACAAAAAAGGAATGAAAATTGACGCAACTGTGCATGACTTCACCTTTGATCAAAAAATTATTTTAATTATTACTAGAGTGAATGTATATCAAAGTAAACAAAAGTCCATTAATGCAACTTATTTTTCAAGTTTATACATATTGTTAAAGAAATCAGTTTATGTAACTTCTCCACAAGTATCTGAGATGAACTAAAAAAAGTGTTCAGTGTTCTTATGCGGTCGTTAAAATTGTCTGATCTAAAAACTGAAATGGTTCAACATTGTTCTGTAAAACTCTTAAATATTAAATTTAATTAAGATTGGTGCATTTGTTCTAAAATTAATTCATGCATACAATGGAAGAGGCTCACTCTGCATCACATCAGCTGCACATAAACTTACTTTCCTGTTCCAAACATGATCATACATTTGTATTAACAAAATTGCTGTGTTCCCAATTCAACATAAAATATAAGTTTAATTACCTGAATGTCTGTGGCGTATCAATAGTTCCGAGAGTAAGGGTAGGCAAACACACAAAACTCAGAAACAATGAAAAAATGCAGTCTATTGCCTTCTTTCTAGACAGAGGTTCAATAAGCCACATGTGAGCTATTATCCTCTAAATCTGTGTTTCAGAATCTTAAAATAGTGGAATTTAAGCAACCAAGTTTAAATTGATCTCAATTTTTCTAACTTTTAATGAAGTATGGATTAGATCCTACTATTGTTCCAGGTCTTCAATTATGCTACATGGTGCTAGTCCTGATAAAGAAACAATACACACAAATGGGGCCCAACTGGGAGTCAAGGAGCACATGGCCTCCAAAGTCAAGAGACCACAGCTTTATTAAACCATAAACTGAGAACACCTTTACTTTCTTTTTATCTTTTATGGAGGCAACACCAATTACGATAGCACTATAAGTGGGTTTATGTCCTATCTCATATCATGATTTGCTCAGATAAACTCAATAATCTTTTTTCTCAATAGTTTTGATAGCTGTTGATTGCAGAGCCATCACTGAAGGTTGCTCTTGGGCAACAATTCCACTGTAGAAATTGTGTTTAGGTCACTGTTTCAGCTGAAAAATTTTTTTAGCTGCATTTAATCATCTCTTTCATTAGCAATTGCCAGAAATGTTAATCCAAATGCTGGGTGAAGCAATCATAATGTAACCAGCGGCTGCACGAAGAATGTTCTATGTGTTTGCTATGCATACTGCAATCCTTGCAGACAAATTATGAAAATACAAGAAGTTATCTTCACTGCAAGAAGCTTTCTGACCTACAGTGATTAGAACAGTCAAGTGAGTTCTTTCAATTTTTTTACATTTAAAATGCATTATACTTTCAGATGAAATCATCGCTATGTACTTACAGAATCTAAATACATACTTGTTCTACTTCTAACATTTTTCTGCAGAACCGTATTTCAAACGTTTTTTATGCTTTTAAAAACTGGGTGCCTCTCGAAGAATTACCCCACTCTTCAACCAGTGGTCAGAACAAGGAATATAATTATAATATTAAGTACAGTACTATGGTTTATTCTCAAAAACATACTCATATTAAACAAATACACTTGACAAAGTAACATTTCTTATTAACAATAAATCACGTATTTATCATTATATTTCACCTTCATTTTCCTCCTCCTCCTTGTCGTTTGAACTTTCAAGCACCAAACAATTTACCATTAGAACTCAAGACATTCTTCTTTACAACAGGTCAAAAAGTTTTGAGAAGTTGTGTTTTAAAATAATGAACATGAAGACATTATCACATGGAAGATCAACCACTTGTATCTATTCTCCAGCTCTTGTGACTTGAGCTATATGTCAGTTTTCCCAACTGATAATTTTATAAAGAATATAGTACAGATCTTTTAGAATAATGGAATTCAGAATTCCACGTTTCGTTTCACTGTGTTGTTTCACTGGCCACACGCTTCTTGTGCTGAAACAGATCACATCCTCACTTAGAAAATACTACATGCTTCATTAAAGCTGTTTACGTAATATTAGAAGGGCTAAAGAGGGCAAAAACAGGCTTCCAAAAGAAACACACAACAGTAATTCTGCATATTTTTCATAATATGGTGTAAATAAATGGAAATAGATCATAAACTGACTGCAAAATAGTATGTTGAATAATGTACTTCAGATAAAAATATGCATATATTTTATCAGTCACAACTACAAAATCTTATACCATAAATATAGTGACGTGTTTCAACAATTCTTTCGTCCTTGGGCATTATAAATCTGATACAGCAGTTTTTACACACCATAATTATCATGCTCAGAATACTTGTAAGTTTGTCCCACTACGTGCCATACAGGCGCTTGGGGTGAGTGGAGGTATAGCTCCTACTTGTTCTTGACCTCGGCACTAGATGGGGGTGAGTGGTCAGCATCACGTCCCGGCCAGCTTTACCCCCGGGAAAGGACCCCGGTACCCATTGTAGAGGAGGCTGGGTGGGTCCCAGAGCCGGTCTGGACGCAGAGGCTAGAGGAAAAATCCTCTACCCCCGTCGGGGATCGAACCCCGGTCGTCCAGCCCGTAGCTAGTCACTATACTGACTGAACTATCCCGGCTCATTCAGAATACTTGTACATTTTAGATATTAGTATGTATTTCTATTTCTAACATGCTTATTTACTATGCTGAACCATGCACCATTGTTAAAATTAAGTTACTATTCTGAAAACTTTAAATACACAACTATAAATCTTCTACTACATACTACAAGACTACATTTTACAAGACTTTAATGACACTTTTAAATCCAGCTGTTTCTTTTAGTTTTTGGAATAGCTATGTTAACAGATAGTTTTAACCCTTTAAAACTGAAGTCTGTACCACAATATTTGTCCTGAGAGTATGCCAAGTTTAAATGTCTCACGCACAATTACATAAGCAGAATTAGATGTGTTTTTTTCTTATCTGTGCCTACTTTAGTCAAAACAGGCATATGTATTATCTTGTTATCAGTGGCATATGATAGACCTGGCACACCCTACAGTGCCAGAAGGGAAGAGAAGCCCCAGTCACGGTCTAGTCCCCAAGTGCAGCCCTACTGGAGTATAGGCTGATATAATATACATATATTATGCAATATTTGGAACCTAATTTTTTACAACAATCTCTGCTTTAATGGATTTATTATTTTATACTTTCTAAGATATCAAGAATGTGTTTGGGGGGAATGTATGCTTTGTTATATCAGCAATGGTAAGGAATTCAACTTAAAAATTTCCTTGTTCTTGTTTGCCCAAATTGCTATGAAGAGTGTACAATAAGTAAATTTCCAAGGGTGTTACTCTCGTATTTATCACTTCTATACAAAGACATCAAAAAGGGCAATAAATAATGGATAAACACACTATTTCCCATGTAATCACCAGACCAACTGAGGCATTTGTTCCAGTAATACAACACAGATAGAGTTGGACACAACAGCTTCCCCAGAAACAGTAGTAACTACCTACATGACTACACACTGTCACAAACCAGAAGTTCACAATCTAAATTTACATTGTCATGAAAACCTTAAGTCTCATGAATCACTTCCTGTAAATGCTAAATATTCCAGTCTTGATGGCAATTAGGGAACTTTATGTACTGTGTAAATGAGTCATGATAACAAGCACTGATTAAAGCAGTGCTTCCCAAACCTCGGTAATTTACCCAAAAATGGGTAAAAGTGGTTTTTATTTGGGTAACGACACACCCATTTCTGTGTGACTTGACTGAAATCCCTGATAGTGTTAATGATTTTGCAGAGCAAATGATGGTGCTTAGGTCAAGCAGTAAGTGCAAAATGTTATTCGAAGAAAAAAAGGACCATTTGGAGTCTTTCTGGTTAACAATTCATGATGAATATCCTGTGGTAGCTGGGGAGGCCGTGATGCAATTATTGCAGTTTCCGAGCACGTACATGTGAAGTAGGATTTTCCACTCTTGCCTTCATAAAGAGTAAAAAATGAAACTGTTTGCGGAACCCCGAATAGGATGTGAGGTGTGCTCTGTCTCCAATTGCTCCAAATTTTGCGGAACTAGTAAATAAGATGGAGCAGTGCCATTGTACTTATTAGCTGGGACCTGGGTGATGAAATATTCATGGTGAATAATTACTAATTTTTTTGTGGCTGCTAAAATGTTTAGAGATGTTTAAAATAAAGACATTGCATCAAAAATATTGTTTGCTTCCTAATTTTTACCGATCTATCTTCACTTGTCATATATGTTTTCTGTGCAGCTAGTGTTTTACCTACATTTGGTAAAAAGGACTTTCTGATAAGCGGTTTTGGATAATGAAGGAAAAAGTTTGGGACGCAGTCAATTAAAGGAACATTTTGATTTCAACAATACAAACCTGTTTCAAATTGTAATGTTCAGAAGTTTACACATTAACAACCTTCTCTCTCACAAGGAAAATAATAATAGGCATCATTTTATATTACTTTACAATATACTGAAATTTACTGTGAAGTACCTCAAGGTTACCTGTGCCTTGCTTTTGCAATCTGAGGTGAGGGCACGCACTTTTGACCTTTCTTGTTCTAATTGTGCATGGAGGCTGGACACTTCTGTGGAAAGTTCATCTTTCACTCTTCGTAATTTATCCACTTCAAACAGTGCTTCTGCTTTGTCTTTCACTGTCACAAAAAGAACATAAATGATGCACAATGATTCTCAGGCCCAAGAAGTTACAGAATGTATAACAAGTCTGTAACATTGAACACTACGTTAAAGAGATAAATTATTCACACACAACACAATCAAAGACTAAAAAAGGTTATAAAGTAATTTTAAGAAATTGTTACCATGTCAGTAAAGCAATCAACAACTATAATGAAATTCACAAGATTGTTGTTACTGTTGATTTGATTTCACAAACAATTTCTATATGGTAAACATATGTTATCATCTCCTGCGGGCTTTATAAATGCGCTCACTATTATTAAATTGCTGGAAATTTTGAATATGTATCAAATTACACTGTCACATATACCTAAAACCATGGAGCTGAAAAAACATTCCCCAGAAGCAAAATTATCATCATCATCTATGGTGCTTTGGCCCGTTTTCAAGCCATGACCTCCCCAATAGTCATTCAACTTGTCACAAAATTCACTGCCTCTTATAGAAGCCCATCAGTGGTCCCTCTCCTGAGCAAGATGAATCCTACCTACACCCTGATATCCTGTTTCTCTAAGTCATTTTAATATTACCTTCTCACCTATTCCTAGGCCTCCCATGCCATCACTCTCTTCATGTTTTCCAACCAAAATCCTCTTTGCATCTCTGATCCCTCCCATCCATGTTTGTCACCCTAATAATACTTGATAAATGAGGCTTATTATGCAACATTCTCCAGCCTCCTCCCAGCCAGGTCAAAACGCTCTCCTAATAATCTTATTCTCAAACACCTTCAATTTATACTTTTCAGATAATATGAGAGACCAAGACCCACACCCATACAAAATCAGATAAAATGACAGGTTTGTATAGTGTAATATCTACGTTTTCAGATGGGATATAAGAATGGTTTCTGAATATTTTGTATGCTTACTTTCTCCTAGAGCTAGAATATTACAGAGCTTCTTGTTTCTTGTTTTAACATTATGTAATTCTTCTTTTAGTTTCACTACTTCTTCTTTCAAAGATTTTATTTCTTTATTTCTCTCCTCTAGAGTATCTTCAAACTGTGCAATTGTTATGGTTTCTTGGATAAATGGCTGCAAGAAATCATTCATTGCTTGAAAATTTTAAAAACATGTTAACTGAAAAGACAAGTTAAATACATAATTAATATAAAATAAGGACACAAGAGACCAGTGGAAAGGTTTCTTCTAAACACTTAAAACTGATGGTGATCATCTTGTGGTGATATATAAACAGCATTTAAAGTTACAAGATAAGCCATCTTGCATAATGTTTCAACTTCCTTCTTTGTAAGCAAGAAAAAAAATTGTCTTTAAAAGTATCAAAGTTATAGTTCATAAATGAATGTCTATTAAAGGTCTGAAGTCACAAATCTTGATTCAGACTGTATAAAATATGACAATTTCTTATGGAATTTATTGAGGACATAATGATCCATTTACAAAACTGAGTTTCAGTCAATGGTTATGACATTTTATTCAAGAAGTCAATTAACTGATCAAGAATCAGCATGACGTGAGTTATGCAATTACATGAAGCCTGCTGGAAGACTGCCACTGTGATGTGTGTGCATTTCATTTTACTGAATCACTGCACATTTATTTTTATAAGTCAGTTATGAGAATTCTCTGTGTTTTTAAACCATCATAGTCATATAAATTTTAAACAATCCACATTTCTAGCTATAAATTGCATTACGATAAATGCATTCATTTGTCAATTACCAGATTCACCTTTACCCAGAAGTTTGAAAGCTGTAAAAAAAGGCATTAACACTGGGTATGTTGCTGACAGAGACATCAACTAAAGCATGACCTGATACTAGAATCTCTCCAAGACATTCAAATGAAACTCATGAGTCTAAAAATATCACTTAGAGTACATCAAGAAACTGCTGCATTGATTGTTATAGACAAAGAGAAACTGCGGACCCTAACATGACAAACACATTCTGTAATTTCCTATGGTGGTGTAAGTCACATCATGCACATATGTAGCACAACAAAAATTTCTTATTGTGAAACAAAATCCAACCTACCTCTCGAGCTTTCCTAAGTCCTAATATTTGTTCTCTATCAAGAGCTTTTCTTGTGTCATTGTCAATTCTTTCAAAGAATTCCTCATCATGTTCATTCACTTTACTGTTCACCACAGACTCACTTATACAACTTTCTCCTGTTACTTCTGAATGAAGATTATTAAACTGTTCTAGAGACATGGGCTGTGCTTTGTTGGACCTTTTGTTTTTCTTGCCAGCACTCTTTTTCTCTTCATCTGCATCCTTTTTCAACAGTTCATAGAAATCCTTTTTCTCTTCATAATCTAGCTTAGACAGGAGGATGGCCTGATGAAGATCCTGTTCATAGTTTCCATCTACAAACTGTAAAGTGCATAATCACAGTGGTATATCTTAACATCATAATAGCAGCTGCTGTGTGAACATATAAACAAGAACATGGAATACTGTCTTTAGAGTAATTACATCTTCACAACTGAAATAAGAGATTGGTTCTTGAACAGAGACATATATGCACAGAAAAGTAAACCTGGATAAACGTTTAAAATCTTCAATATAAAATGTCTGATTTCCAAAGAACAAAACACTGTATGAAAAATACATCTATAAATTTCTAGTTTTCATTAATTTTCTTAATACTTACCAAACAAATCCACAAGAAAGTACTGAATAAAATTAAATATCTATGGCTCTCTTCATAAGAAATTTCAACTATACAGTGTGTGTTCACAATTATAGAAATTTTTCATACAGTTTACCACTAAGCTCTTATCATATGAGTCATAAACTGTCAACTGTATTATGAAGTTTGAATTAATGTTGCCCACATTTCAGATGCCAATGTAGTAAATGTTACACAGATTAAGAATTTCAAAGCAGGAGTGTTGCAAATGTCTGCATTAAGTACTACAAGAGTTTGGCACCATATGGTCTCTATCTCTCTGTGGGAACAAGATAAATACATGTTTTGTAAACAAGACACTTATCGAACATGTTTAAAACAAAAGGGATGAAGTAAGTAGGGAACAGAGGCTACTACATACCCAGAAACTTGATTTACAATGTTCATGTCTTGTTATACTAAAATGATAACTGGTGAGAAAGGGACATAAACTAGTGTAGGATCATGTTCAATAGTGGAATTTCATGTATGATTTGAGGTTTTCATGGCAGTGAGTATGAACACAGCTGTCTTCTGGGTTGTTGCACCGTGAAGTCTGGTAGAAGTTTACCGATGTTTCAGAGGTCCTTGCTGCCTCCATCATCAGGCCTGATGATGGAGGCAGCAATCTGCCATATTAAGTATGGAGTTACATTTGGAGATTGTCTCTGTCTCTACATCAGGATAGGTCTGCCACGGCTGGTCACAAGAGAAGATATCACTGCTTTTTGAAATTTAGTAAGCATGCAGTTTTGACCTTGCCAATATTGGAACAAGATTGTGCATCCAAGATAATCATTCTTAAGGAGGAACATAAGCAAGAAATAAAGAATGTATACAGTTTTAAAACTAGTTAAAACAAGTGAAAAGATTTTCAAACTCACATTCTGTATTTGCTAAAAAAAATCATCCACAGACACAAGGCATTTAAATTCTAGTTTTCTGTTATCATACCTTAACCAGAAACAAAACATAAATGAGTCAAACCTCTGAATCTTTCTTCTTCCACTGATCCCACTGTTCTTGTGAGGGGCTTTTCTTTTTCTGCTGTCCATCTTTGCTGCCCTCACCCTTTCCAATCTTGCCTTTAGATTTGGTATTTGAGTTTGGCTGTGGTGGCTAAAATAGGATAATTCCCTTTTAAGTTGTACAATCACAAAATAATGTATGTCATGCTGCTTCAAAGAAACAAACTCTTCTTTCATGCTAAATAACAACGCAGACATAACTTCAACATGTCTCTCTAGTCCTATTTCTATAGAATGCATCCTGAAAAAAAAAAGATAACATAATATAAATTCATGTTAGGTCAACTCAGTTTTATACAGCAAAAGTGGAGAAGGCTCCATCAGTTTCCTTTAGACTATTGTTTCTCAAACTGTAAGCCACATACCATTTGAAAGCCAAGGAGCAAAAATTCCATGAGATGTGAACCACAGGTGAAGCTAGCTGATTGTGATGTGATCAAAATGAATGATAAGTTGGGAGGCATTTGGGAGAAAGAGTACTATGTATCTTAAAATATGCCATATGGAACTGAGGAAATAAATAAACAACTTTTGTAAGAACAGCCAATGATCACCAGACTTCAATCAGGGAACCACAACAATGAATGAAACCTGATTAGAGATCCAAAAGCCCAAACAGGGATTCAGTTTTATACAATATGTAAATGGAACCAACTAAGAATTGAATCATATAAATGGATTTTACACTGTCTGAGTTCTGCTGTTGTTTTTCTGTTTTAAGTTCTGCTATCATTTCTGCACTGATTTTATGATGCATATCACAGTAGTTTTGGTACAATCATTCACAAAGATCTGCACAAAGTATATTGCGATAAGAGCTCAATAAATCACACTGAACAAGACAATTTTTTCCTTGATGTGAATTTGGTAAATTAATATACTGTTATGCACTGGCTATAAAATGTTCCCTGAACTGTTCCATTACCCACAATTTTTTAAGAAAATACGAATATAAATTACCTTTACAACTTTACTCATGCACCCATTGTTTTCTACTGCACTATATCCATCTTTGTACATCGGGTCAGTTGTCATCAGCCTATTGCATCTGATACTGGGCAAAGGGTAACAAACACTCCTAACACCTAACCATGTCTGTCAGGAGTTACTTGAAGGAGTACACACAAAGCACACGCTGGACGCAAAAGATGACACTTGCTCTCAGAACCGATTGGGAAGCAGCTGTGTATTTTATTCTGAGCATTCATCAGCATTTTGGTTGTCTTGTCCAGTAAACTGTGTAGTGGCTTCAGCTTGGCATCAAGTGGTGTAAGCTGAGGCATTTATCACTACATTAAAAATACAGGACAATTTACAAGGAAGGTAAATTTTTGATTTTGTATCACAAGTTTCTGGTGTACATGTAGTTCTTCCAGCAAGACAATGCACCACCACATTGGAGCTTGAATGTGTGTGCGTCTCTTAATTATCATTTCCAAAACCAATGGATTGGCTGTGCTGCTTCCTTCGGTAGGCCGGCCATAGCACTGGGTATCACACTGCTGTAATTTTTTGACATCAATTATTTGAAGGACAGGATTGCAGCTTATATTGCAACAGCCAACTATAACACGCTGCAGCATCCATGGATGGAGCTTGAATATTATTTGGGCAATGTACATGTGATAAACGGTGCCCATGATGAATACGTGTAATGTTCAGAATAAACTTTGAGTTTCTCTTGCAGATGTGTCTGTCTTTTCATAAAGTTTTTATTCATAAAACTGTAAAGATAATTTATATACACCCTGCACATGACTTGTCATTTCCATAAAAATGCAGGAAAGTCAGATGAGCAACATTCCATAATAATTTGGTCAGAAGAATGGGAGGCATTCAGCCACTGGGTAATAGAGTCACAAACCCACTGATCAGGAGATGTGTCATGCCACTTTATACCCATCTTTCTTGCAGTTTTTTAATTCTTGTCTTGTCTACTAAAGAAGCAGCCGAGCTTATTATATTTATGCACTTCAAATTTATTCTTCTGGTCAAACATCATCGTCTTATTCTTATTCTCCTCCTACCATAATTTCAATTGTATATGTTGATGGTTTACTAACACTGATCAATGAACCTGTCTACACTGTGCCTGTCTACAAAATGTCACACAAATGTGTTAATTATTAGAATTCAAATTCTCATATGTGAGGAAAATGAATAGTGTTTTGAATTGTTTCAGATGCAATGTAAACGAGGATACGTATATTGCTGCTCCTTTACTAGATCCTTAGGAGAATGGTGAAGGGGGTCCCATTCATTGAGGCCATTTGCTGTTCCCATGGTATGCAGACAGCTGGAAGATCACCTTAGCAAGTGTAAACTTCTGTTTTCCTGAAAGTCTGAAAATTTCATAGGGTACTAAAATTTGCCAACAGCAAAAATTACTTCTGAAGATTGCTGTCTTCTGGGTTGTTGCGCTGTGTAGTCTGGTAGATGTCCACCAACGTTTCAGAGGTCATGCTGTGATTCATCGCCCTGATGATGGAGGTAGCATGACCTCTGAAACATTGGTGGACATCTACGAGACTACACAGCGCAACAACCCAGAAGACGGTAAACTTCAGACTCACCGCTGTGAAAACCTTATATCCTACAAAAAATTACTTCATCGTAGAAGAACCTAGCAATGCTTTCTGAATGAAATATCAGTTTCTCAAGAACTTACTGATCTACACTTTTGATCATACACATCAATGATGTCTCACATTTAATACTGAATGATCTCATTAAAGACCTAACCATCTTTTTTTAAAAAAAGAAAGTGTTCAATCCACTAAGATTTAGATTAAAAGAGTGGAACCTTATACAAGTATACCAAGATTTTATTTTATAAGTAACAGAAATATGTAACATTTTGAGATTTGAGGTTCTTATGACAGTGAAGATGTTCGTCTTCTAGATTGTTTCACCATGCAGACTTGAAATAAGTTACCAATGTTTCAGAGAAACACACTGCCTTCATCATCTTCACAGCTGAAGACAGAGGCAGTATGTTTCTCCAAAATGTTAGCATCTATTCTCAAGTTCACATGGAGTTACAATCCAGAAGACCAACACTGACGTAACATACTTTTATGTGAGTGGTGATCAGTTACCAGTGGTGTCAATCGACTTATGGAAACTATGAGATGAGTCCACAACCTGAACACCTGTTTATTAAGTCATCAAAGCCAAGTTTAACCTTTATCATATGGGAACAGGGAATTTAAACTCCTGTACTACAGGGCTGCCAGCTGGAATTAGAGTCAATGATTTAGCAGTGCATTACCATGAAGCACAACCAGATTAATTATAAATAAACCATCAAACATGCATGATAAAGGTTAAGACAGCATGTTCACATAATGCTAGTGTGTATTCATTTCTATCAGTTACATATGCTGTTATGCCAATAAGCTAAACAAGTCACTTCCAGATACATCTGTAACCTTGAATGTGCTCTACATATACTCTTCCAATTCTACTCACACAATGCACAAAGATATTACTTATGTCATGAACATACCCCAACAACCACAGCTTGCCATAAGAAATTTATTATCTACAGTGAACTAAACATTTTCACCAGTCAATGTTGTACAACGATATTAAAATCTTACATACATAATCAATTCACAAAACACTACAATGATATGTAACTGAGAGTACGAACACATATAACTGTTGCTCTTCTAATTACCATACAATAGTCTTGCCCATCCTTTCAACAAAAACAAATTCATAACATTTCAAGTTCAATTTACTAATTACTTGCGTTTAATAAAAATTAAAAATGTCTTAATTCTTGCATATTTAACTGATGTATGCATTTAAAACACTCACCTTCCCAGAATCAGATTTCTTATTTTTCTTCTTTTGACTTGAATCTGTCTTTTGAGTTGGTATGCCGGTTCCAGCTTTCTTATTTTCGACTTTCTTCTTCTGATTTCTTTTCGGAGAATCTTCATCATCGTCCATGCTAAGAACAGCAAACCGGGAGGCCACTGCTGTCGCCATTATTTTATATGCCATTACTTACAATTACAGTACGAGGCAGAAATTCAACACCTTTTGAAACCAAAGGGTTTAATTTGTGATTCAAATTTATACCACGCTAATAAAATACACTGTGTTTGTCCTTTTACTTTCACCTACGATTTTAAATCTGTCAAACTCCTACGACACCGCTACACGCCAAATTCAATAAAAACGCACACATACCGACATTTGTCGTTAAGCAAAGACTTATGGGATAATAACTCACGGCGACTGATGTTGCATTGTGGGAACTAAATATGTCTGTTCATTAGTGGGAATTGAGATATTCTCATTTGTATTTCTGTTTGTAAGTTTATTATTGACGTTCGTTAAAACCATAATAGTATATCGTTCGAAGTTATGAAATAATTCTCATGTTAGTTGTTATGTATGTGGCTTATTACTGTAAGAGTCCGTAACTGGTCGTAATTTTTAATCGTATATAAGGCATATACTTAGGTTTTTCAAACGCTATCACATCTGCACATAAACATTGCTTTTTCCTTGTATACATTCAAATATCGTTTGCAAAAAGTGGCTTTATGAAAGTGGTAATCCACTATTGTAAGAAAATAAGCAATTGTATTCATTGAGTTCGCAGCTGTGCTTTTCGGTGAGAGTGGAATACATCCCCATATTATGGGGGTGGTGTGTCAGCTCAGTATTTGACAAGTTCGCCCAGTTGCGATATCTTACCATTTGTTTCCAATTAATTGGTTCATATTTTCCTTCATACTCTTAAAATTTATCTCATTTATTTGTTGTCCAGTGGTGGTGGTGTTCCTTATTTTCAGAGTATTGCAACAGTTCTTGAACGATTTATGTTTCAAGCCTTTTTTATAATTAGTTTTAGTCAGCCTGTATCCATGTAGCAAATTCACATAATATTATACTATTACAACATTGAGGTTATATCACCAGCAATTGATATGCTTATTGCCTTCATACATAATTTACATGCCCTACATGTTGTACGTAACTGACGCTAGGCAATTAGAACATGGGGAGAATACATAACAATACTTCAGGTTACCCTAGAATTTATTTACATTCTGTGGATCTTTCTTGGTAAAATCCAAGAATGTAGAACATATACTGATAATGTGATCATTTTGTGTAATAAAATACCAAAACAACAAACTTATGCCATCTATTTATATAAATATTTACAGTATTTCATAATTTTTAATGGAAGTAAATTATCTGTAGAGTAGGAGGAGTGAGATAAAAGGTAATCTTTCAATGCTGGCTTAAATACATTTATATCATGATTTAAACTTTTAATACTATCTGGGAGAGTATTGAATAGTTTGATCCGTGCATATTCAGCACCTTTCATATAATTAGTGAGGTTAGCGCTCAGTTGATGGAGATCGTACTTATGTATTATGTTTATGCTATGAATGTCAGACTTTATTTAGAACTTCTGTATGTTGTCCACAACGAAAGATATTATGAGAGTACGAATTAACTCACAAGAGGGAGTATACAAATTTCTTAAATAGTTCTATGCAAGTTACTCTTTTCTACTATTATTTCTTCTTACTAATTTTAACATCTGTCATTATTCTAATGATTTTGATTCATATGATACTCTTTTGCTGTCTGTAGAATTTCCCCAGAAGATAATTCCATATCATGTGATTGAATGGAAATAAGCAAACTAACTTTACAGTAACTACTTTGAACAGTGGTATGACTGTTCTCATGGCAAAGCATGCTGAACTTAGTTTCAGGATAATATATTTCAATGCGCTTTTTCCAGTTAAAATTATCAATTTGTAAACCATGTAATTTAGTTGTTAATACTTCTTCAGTGGGTTTTATTTTTATAAGCTATAAAAGTATAAACTGTATGTTTGAATTTAATCAGTGATATAAACTTCCAGCAGCTTTTACTGTACATCACTTTATTGTAACTGTTAACAATGGAAAACATGTTTCAGGCTTATAATAGACCATCCTCAATGTCCACCTTTATCATTGTGTCACATTTGGTTCAAAAATTATATGCAACTATTATACAAATATCATCTTCTAAGATTTTGATGTGGGTTTTTGTATGTTTATTTTATTAGCAGTTCTGACAAGAACATACATGATTATATGGATAATACTAGATTTTAATATATTGAGATAAAAATATCTATTTAAATTGTTTATATGTATATATTTGCAAATTGACTTATTTCATATCTGGGATATATAAAAATATATATATATAATATTTCATATTTGGGATTCATACAAGGCACAAATCTATCTGTCTAGAATTTGTTCATAGTTGAGCACAACAGTGGGTAGTGCATTGCGTTCTCTCTACATTTGCTATGTCCAGCAGTATTTTGTGTACCTTCTTATTGGTACCAACATTATATACACAATTAGCACCTTTTCTTGTAATATGTCTTTCTCTGTGTGTGTGCAGAAAAAAAATGTTTTTATTGGTGTTTAACCTTCATTGGGTATTCTGTTATGTGTAACATTAGATATTTTACATTGAAGTACTCTTTTACTTCAGAAAACCACCAGTGAAGATGCTCTTAAGTTATTGTTGCCCTTGTTGTGGTGATATCTTGTTATCTTTTCACTTTTATGTAATTTCAGGAAATACATGTACCAGTTTTGGCCTGGTTTTGCTGCAGTAAATGGGTTTGGAATTTTAATTTCTTTAATCAGATGTTTTACACTTTATATATATATATATATATATATATATATATATATATATGCTTCTTTTTTGATCTTTGCAGTTGATAAAGTATCCAACCAGTATTTTCTCCTCTTCAGACTGAATTGTGGATGAATAGTTTTGGGTCTTTACTCACTACATTCATAATTTAGAAATATTTTGGAAACACACTTATTAACTTAGAGCTTCTGTAGACTCAATTGTTTGCTGAACAACATAAGTCCTTTTCTGGAGCCGTATCTAAAACTAAATGTTCCAGTACTTTGCACACATCTAGTAACAGATGTGTTAAATTCTGGATATGACTTGTCTTGGATGCTTTTGTTAAAATATGCTTCATTGGCAGACAGACTCTTTATGTTTCATTACAGTTTAACACAAATATGATCATACCAGCCATTGACTGGGGTATCAATAATTGTTGAAGGAAGGATTTTCATGTTCTAGTAACTGACATGCAGTCTATAGTTAACCTGTTACACAAGGGGCCATAAGCACATTCTTTGTTTACTAAATATAAAATTTAACTTCAATTACTATATAGCTAGATACCATGTTCTTAACACATGAGCTGTTACCTCCTTGAAACATATATCCCATCTAAATATTTAAAAATTCAGTCCTACTTCAAAGAGAACACAATGCATCTCCATTAAAAGATCAGTTGGTTAATGTTATTTGAGGAAATTATCACAGGTTATTCTAAGAAGCATACAAAATCTACTGTTACACCCTGTGAGCAAAATGCAGAGTTATTTTATTTAACAGTAGGTAGTACATACGGGAATCGCTGTAGTTAAAAGGGTTAATAGAGTGAAACTGCATGAAATGAGCAAAATGTACATTGCTTCATTTTCATTTTTGTGTAGTCTGCAGTGAAGGAGGCAATAAGAGGAAAATTGTAGGATTTGAGGTTTTCACAGCGGTGATTCTGAAGATTGCTGTCTTCTGGGTTATTGTGCCATGCAGTCTAGTAGATTTCCACCAACATTTCAGAGGTCATACTGCCTCTGTCATCAGGATGATGAATGTCATGCACAGCGCAATAACCCAGAAAAGCAGTCTTATGAGGAAAATTGTCATTTGTCCATTATACACAACAGCTTTTTATATAAACATTCATTTATAATAATAGTATTTTAAAAACTCTAGAACAATGTGTTTTGACATGTTGTGTGGCTGTGAAATATAATTAAAAGATATGAAGATTGTATCTAGGAAGATTTTTTATCATTGTGTGACAACCTAGAGTTTTAAAATACCTTTAAATTAACAATATTGTGAAGAAATGTTTAATCAGATTTAACATTTGTAGGATAGATTAGAATATCTGCTGCATTATATTTCTATCTATTTTGTTCAACACTCATCTTAATGTGGTAGTATTTGACCCATTAGTTGTGGGTCCAGCAGGTAGCATTGTAGAATGCAGAACTGTTGGGATATAGCTGTGTTAACCAGGCAAAAGACTGTTTCTTGTTGCATGTTGTAGAACTTGTTGTTGAGAGATGTCCCTTTGTATCCTTTAATTTTATTTGAGAGGAGCCTGAAAATGACATATAATATGTCAAAACATGGTTCACCAAAACTTCTGAAATCCTGTTCTGTTGCTATAGCTGATTGTTAAAATAATAGTCTTTTGTTATATGCATGGCAAAATTAAATATTTACCTAGATAACTCCATAACATAATGCTAGAATATAATATTAGGCAATAAATAGTTTGTATTGTGTTAGAACTACAGCATTACTTAAGACTATTGTTTCCAAAGTCATCTGGAAAAAAGTAATGTCCCTTAATATGTATTAATATTACCAAGTTTCCATAATTTGTGAGATATCGATTAGTGGTGAATTTACCGAAGTTGAAAAGGATGGGGAAGGAATACAGAAAAAAGAAGTGATAAAGGAAAAAAATGAGATATGGAATGAAGATGCTGAAATTATTTTCTGTTAAATTTCATTGGGCTTCTTCCACTTATCATAATTTAAAAATAACTCATAAATCCATTCAAAATATTGCAAAATTCAAATGTTTGACAATAAAAATCAGTATTGAATTCATGAACAAGTTAAGAGAAGATCAAATGTGGGGAATTCTTGCAAACATTTAGTTAGAAATCCTTGTCACCTCTCTGGGTCAATGGGTGTTCAAGAGAATGCAGCTAATCTTTGGTAAGTTGCTAATAAGTGATCTTGAGTAAAAATATAAATATGTATTTATTATTAAAGTTTGTTGGCATAATTGCTGTTTATACAAGTACTAACAAATAATGAAACCTTCTTGTTTATTGTTAATAAATACAGTG